GTGATGACGCTGGTATGTGTTTGCAGTACACAAGCCACGGTTAAGACAGCTGACTCCACTGTGATGTGACCCCCCTCCCCCCTCCTCTCTTCTCTCTCTCTCTCGCTCTCTCGCTCGCTCGCGCGCGCGCACACACACACACGATGTGCAAAACTCCGCATTTGAACAGTCAATAGCAAATACTTAAGCTAACAACAAAACAGTAGCTGATTCAGAAGCACCAGATTGTCATAGTAAAGTCAGAATTACCTCCTCTCCTACGTTCACAAAACGGTCGTCCATAAAATTCATTGCTGTTCTGTTGTAAGTAATCTTAAAGATTCCTAAATGCATCTACTTTCGGAAGGCCAAATAAAGTGCTTTTGCTTTCGCCTAGAAACACACAGCTTCTCCCTGGCATGCTGCTTCAACACTAACTGCGGTTACTGAAACCACGCCTTCTTTCTTTGCGTGCACATTTGGGCGGCATTATGCTAATATTTCCACATAGTGAGGTAGATATGTGGGGGCGTGTTAGAACGAGCCGTTTTAGGGGGGTGTGGCAGAGTCTTAACGTTGATAAAGAATATCTCTTTGGTTTTGAGACTTTAGTCTTTGCAACTTCAGGGATCTTATCTATGCACAATCAGCTTGTAACACTCCAAAGAGAAAGGAAAACTTGAAATCACATCATATGACCCCTTTAATGTGAAAAAGATAATTACAATAATGCAAAAAAAAAAAAGTTATATATTTATATTTAAGTCATATATTTACAGAGGCAGTATTTGTTGGACTGCCTTTAATGAATTGATTTATGTTATTTTATATATATATTTTTTATTTGATTATTAAATTTACTATATATATATTTTTTTTATTTACTCTTTTGAAATCATACAATAATTATACAATATTTATACATATACATACAATAATTATATATATACACACACACACACACACACACACACACACTATTTATAAAATATATATATATATATTTGCACATAAAATATAAGTATAAACATTAATGTCTATGCCAAATTTTATGCAACGTATACAGTTAGATTTTTTTCTTTTGTTGGCGATTAAATGTGACCTACCTGTGAGATTCACTTTTAAAGGAATGCCTTTAAAAAAACAAGACAAGAATGTGCCTGGTTTCAATGTCTGTACTCCAGATCAGGTCTGATAGTCTTCCTCTGTGCAGAATGAAGTGCCACAGCTGGTTGGAGAGATCTACCAGAACTTCTTTGTGGAGAGCAGGGAGATCCCGGTGGAGAAGGCTCTTTATAAAGAGATCCAGCAGACGCTGGTGGGGAACAAGGGTACAGACGTGTTCCACAGGATCCAGGGAGATGTGTACGAGACCATGAAGGAGCGCTATTACCCATCCTTCCTGGTGAGCGACCTGTACGAGCGGCTCATTAAACGAGAGGAGCAAAGGAGCAGCTCACACTCCAGCAGCGAGGAGAAAGACGACGCCGTGAGTTTAACATGATATGAGCCTGGCTTCTACATCCAAACACTCCATCGCCATTTTCGGTGATTTTTCTCTTGTATTTCTGTGCGTTTAGGGTCCGGTGATGGAAGGAGGGGACGTGGCCCTGGATGAAGGCAGCAAAGGCATCAACGAACAGGCCAGTTACGCCGCAACCAAACTACACCAGCTGTACGAGAGGCTGGAGTACAAACGCCAAGCCCTGGGTTCCATCCAGAACGCACCACGACCTGATAAAAAGGTAAACCCAGAATTATAGCCCCATTGATGTGAAATAGTATCCTTTTATCTGAAATAATAATAAATAAATTCAGATTGATCATTTTTTGTGCATCAGATCTGTGATTGGCCAGTGCATCCATGTGATCAATGGACACGTTTGTGATTGGTTACAACTAATTAATTTGAATGTTCAACCCTATTTGTTACAAAAACACATTTTAAATTAAACTTTCATTGTGCATCCCTAATATGTTTTTTTTTTTTTGTTGTTTATAAATGCGAATATTTTGAATTTAACAAATACATTAGGGATCAAAAGTTTAAGATTTTTAAATATTAAAGGCTTTGCTGGCCCTGACGGCCCACCACTGATATACAGTATATATGTACACAGTATATATATATATATATTGTAAAATGGCACAGCTTTTTAAATATCTGAAAGTACACTCTTAACATCAGTAAGTCAAGCATTATAATATGATAATCAAGTATTGTTTAATAATAGAAGTTCTTCTATTATTAAACTCACACTAGAGTTTACAGTACGCGAAATACACAAACACAGGTGCACTGCGCATCCATTGAGATGAAATATCACAGATTGCTTGACAAAGAATGAAACTCTGAAGCGCTCAGAGTGTTTGGCGAGTGAATAATATATCTGTGCTAAACTTATACTTAGCCTCCAACTCACACACTGGCGAGTAAAATCTTAAGAATTTATTAGCTATTGGCTAATATTAGACATCTTATATCATCGTAAAGTTATATCTAATCTTTCACTGCCATGACCAAGATAAGATGGTAAATCTGGTTATCCTGGAAAACCTGGTGATGCATACAAGCATATCAGAAAGGGACATGATGTAACTTTTGGTAAAGTGCTGTTTACATGCTGTTCACTACAATCACAGGAATTACATCGGTAACACAGAGTACTTTCACTTTAAAAGATCAAACAAATTCTTAAACCACAGAGTGCAGCAGTGACATATCAACCGTGTTTTCACACATTCTGACTTCAATCAGTTGAAAAATACAATCTTACAATCAGTTGTTGCATTGAGTTCTGTGATCGCCACAGCAGCATATTGTAATCCCTTGCATGATTGTCTGTGGTGTTTTATTCGGCTCTCACAACATTCTTTCCTTAAAGTAACAGTGATTAATTTCCTGTGTGTTTGACTCTTTTACAAATACAGTCATTAGATCATACGCAGTCCTGCTGTCCTCCTTAATCATCCGTCATTCCATCTGTTTAACTTCACAGAGAGCCACCATCTCAGTATAGTCACAGTAATAAAGGTGTCAGTGCTCTTAGAGGATTTTTCCAGATTATTTTGAAGCCATGCAATAGATCTGTATAGCATGTCAAAAATGAATGCAGACTGACATAGAGTAACTGAAATCAAAACTGATGCAGCATGTTTTGAAATGCCGTATTAAAATCGAATGCAACCACAAATTCAATTTGAAAACTCTTTTCATCATTCAACAACATCTTGGGTGAAAAATAAAGAAAACTTACTCTAATCTGTTCATCTGTGTTTTTATATATTTAACATGTAGAGTAGAGCTACTGTATTGATTTTATTCTGATCACCTGCATCCTTAAAGGGGTCATATGATGCGATTTCAATTTTTCCTTTCTCTTTGGAGTGTTACAAGCTCTTGGTGCATAAAGAAGATCTGTAAAGTTGCAAAGACTAAAGTCTCAAATCCAAAGAGATATTCTTTATAAAAGTTAAGAGTCAGCCACACCTACCTAAAACGGCTCGTTCTAACACGCCCCCACATGTCTACCTCACTATGTAGGAAGATTTGCATAATGCCGCCCAAATGTTCACGCAAAGAAAGAAGGTGTAACTTTGATTCTCGCTGTAGTATTGTTGTCGCCGCCGCCATGTCGTGAAGGTGCTGTGTGTTTAGTTGTGAAAGCGAAACTACTTTGTTTGGCCTTCCAAAAGAGGACGATATCTGCTTCATCATGCCTGGAGCTGATCCGTGCTGGTCACTGAGGAAATACAACTTTGCGCTGTGGATCGCCGGATCGGCTTTCACCGTGGACGAAGTGGAGTCCAGCCCGGGGTCGTCACATGTGGTTGCCACAAGCCCTCCGGACGCTCCTTCGTCGAAATCCGCCAGCCGCGCCATTCTCAAGCCCGCTGCCTCTGCTCACTCTAGCCCTCGGGGCGTTCCTCTCTCTTGCCCCCGGCCTCTGCTCACTCTAGGCCGCCGTGTGTGACGCTGTGTTTCGTTGTGAAAGCGAAACTACTTTGTTTGGCCTTCCAAAAATGGACATGACTAGAAATCAGTGGTTAAGTTGTATTTACAACACTGTTCCAGAACACGTCAACCCAAATATTCGAACGCAACGCGTAAAAAGACAGTATAAGTCATTATAATCCTTAATTATGTCCCCACTGGATGCAACGAATGCCTCGTTTATAATGGGTTTTCATGTTTTTGAATCATCGCTCCGGCCTGACAGGGCATCACAGTGTGGTGAGGGGCGTAACATTTCTGTTACACGCTTGCGGTATTCAGCCAATCATAACACACTGGATAGCTGGCCAATCACAGCACACCTTGCTTTTCAGACCGATGAGCTTTGTAAAAATCGTCGCGTTTCAGAAAGGTGGGGCATAGAGGAGGAACAATAATGTACAGTATGTAGAAAATGTGTTTTTTTAACCTTAAACCGCATAAACACATTTCATTACACCAAATACACAAAATAATGTTCTTTTTTAGCAGCATCATATGACCCCTTTAAAACTCCTCTGGCCTTTAAAAAGAAGCACATCTGTTTTTTTCTTTTCAGTGTTTTTTAGTTAAGTACCATTGTTCTGTATAAGTAAACAAGAGCCCCATCAATCATTTTTCCTCTCTTTTCCTGGAGCTCTGATGAGGAACAGCACACATTTGCATATTTCTGCTCAGGAGTGAGTCATTCGTATATTAGCGATTTATCTGTTAATTGGCTGCAAAATGACACACAGCTTTTTAAATCAGTTGCTTCATGTGATGTTATTGTTTTCCTGTCGTCTCAGTTCTGGGCAGAATCAGATGCATTACATGCAAAATGATTTAATTCAAGCCAAATTAAATCTTTTACCGCAAAGATTTTGCTCAAATAATTGTTAAATGAGCAAATGTAAATGTTAAAATGTTAAAAACATGAATCAAATTTGTTTTATTTTATTTCTATTTTTATATTATTTCAATTCTGATTTTATTTAAATTCCGTTTTCGTTTTTATTTTATTTCAATTCAAATTTCATTTTATTTCGATTCTTTTTTCATTTTATTTCAGTTCTATTCTATTTCAATTATGATTTATTTTTTATTTAAATTCTATTTTCATTTCAATTGATTTCAATTCCATTTTCTTTTCATTTTAATTTCAATTCTATTTAATTGTTTTATTTTTATTTAAATTCTGTTTTCATTTAAATTAATTTTTTTATTTAAATTCTATTTGAATTTCATTTGATGTAATTTCAATTCTATTTTAATTTTATTTTATTCACTGCACAACGTGAATCAGAGTGAGTGAAAATAACTATGCTAAAATCACAGTATGTGTATCTCGTAGGCCTCTGAGGAGAATGGCGAGCAGATGGCGTGTTACTTTGTAGCAGTGAGTCTTTCTGAAGACGACGACTGCAAGAACAACCGCTGGACCGTCACCAGGAAGCTCAGCGAGTTTCAGGCTTTGCACAGGAAGTTGACGGAGGTACAGCTGATATTTACAGTACGCTGCCACACCTCTGATGTGTGATATCATGTGCTGGCGTAGTGTTTCAAATAGCACTGATCTGTGACGGCCCTCTGCTGCGGCCATTGTCAAGCTGCTGTGGCAATGAACTAATTGTTGTACATTATCAGTTCTGATACAGATTATGCATGACAGAACATAAAACCACGGACTGATGCTTCTTACCCACCGTTCATCTTTCTTTCCGTTTTTCTTTTGCAGTGTTTTCCGTCACTCAAGAAAGTCCAGCTTCCCTCACTCAGTAAACTGCCATTCAAATCAATCGACCAAAAATTCCTTGACAAATCCAAAAACCAACTCAACACGTTTTTACAGGTGAGTCTTTTCCAGTCTCATTGAGGAATGTGCTATTAAAAACAAACAATCAGTGACTTGTGGTTTTTAATTAATTACTTCATTCATTCATTCATTCATTTTCATCCATTTGATCCAAACTTATTGCAGGAAACTTGTTTCCACAGCATTTTCCAATATATATTTTTAAATACATAAACTGAATATCAGAGAGTTTTCTGTATTTGACTTGAACAGAATGTACATTTTCATTAAAAAGTTCAAAATATGTGATGTTTTAAACACGTAATGATCTTAATTATCTTTAAAAAAATTTTTTATTGTAAATATTAAAAACATTTTCAAACAAAATCACTTCATTGCTTAATAATAAACAAAATATTATGATATATATATATATATATATATATATATATATATATATATATAAAAAAATTTTTTAGCACCACAAAAATATAAAAATGACTTTTAGGGACGCAATATATCAGCACCATATCTGTTATCGACTGATACTGGGTTTTTTTCACATTTTTCCTTATTGGATATTTAATTATTTACACCTATTTTAAGACATATGTCATCATATAGCACTAATGAAATGTTTAAATATTCACTATGCTTACTAAAGCTTTTCACCGTGCCAGTTTACTTTGAGTCACATTTCTGTCACATTTCAAACCTCTGATTATTTTTAAGTTGATGTACACCAGGAGTGTGCTTGTGTGTATTTCTGGTCTCATTTGATTCAGGGCTGTGATTTTAAGAAGTTTATTTCTAGATTCATGAAGTTTTAGTTTGTATGTGTGTGTTTCCTCTGTAGAAAGTGTTGACAGATGAGCGCATGTGTCAGAGCGAGGCGCTGTATGCCTTTCTCAGTCCATCACCAGAGCACCTGAAGGTCATCGACATCCAGAAGAAATCCTCCTTCTCTCTCGCATCCTTCCTGGAGAGACTGCCGGGAGACTTCTTCTCACACCAGGAGGTACACACACACACACACACACACACACACACACACACACACACTTAATGTGGACATTCTATAGACCTATATTGTTTTTACAGATAATTATAAGCCATCGTCTTCACAGAAGACTAAAATAATAAAATAAAAAAAGTTTAGAGTGAAAATATTGTTAAATGAGTTGTTTGTGTTTTCAGCTATGCTAACTGAAAAAAATGAAAAACTGAAAAAATAAAAAAATAAAAGTTTTTTTTTGTTTTCCAGCAAAAATATGTAACCATGCTAATTACAACATACACTTACTTAAGAAGCAAAGTAGCATAAGATTATTATCTAATGAAATTTTGTAACATTTTTTGTAACAAAACCGGATTAAAAAAAGTATTTACTTAAAAATAACCCATTTATTGAATTCAGTTTTTTTAATTATTTATTTTTAAAATTTACCCCATTGGCCAACAGTTTTTGTCAGTTTACTCTTCTGTATTTTTTTTTTTATTGGAATTCTAACAAGACAAAATATTGAGTAACACTTTAATATTTTGCATAACATAACAAAAAAGTGTATTTTTGTCTTATTTTCCAGTATAAATATTTAAAATACTTGAGAAGAAAATTACAACGATAATAAATGAAATACTTTAAAACAAACTTTGTTTGAAACAAGAAAAAAGCCTTAATAATCTTAAAACTTAATTAGAAAACATTTTTATTGCTTTGCTGGTTTTACTGACAGATATTTTTCTTTCGTTCAAAGTCTAATGTCACTTAATTTTAATACATTTTTTAGGAAACAAGGCTTGTAATCTTGTCATTTAGCTTCTCATGTACTGTATATGTTTGTTGATTTACAATAAGAATGTTTAGATATTTGTAGTGAAAAACCCCATTAATTTATATGAAGTAAATAAATAATTTCGGCGAGCCACAATGATTATCCATTGAAGACTAAATTTAAAGGCTCATTTGTAGGGATGTAACGATCGGTTACAAATCCGATCGGTTGAAAATCGATTCAAATACTGTATGTGACGATTCAAATCGTTTGAGATGCTAAACAAATCGCGATTCATTTAGGGGTAGGAGTTTATATGAATGCATGTCTGAGGGGAACTTACTGTCTTTAGAAAAGTTTAGATGGTATTTTTTCTTTTCATCTTGCCTCTGTATAATACATATTAAAGTTCATAAGTGCAGCGCTGCTTTGTTTAGGCCTACAGCGGAAACCAGGAAACGCTTTAAGTGCCACCTGCTGGCAGAGAGTGAATCTAAAGCCTTAGTTTGTTTATATGAAGAGATTTGTTTTATTTGTGTTAAATATTTATTTGATTTGGGGCTTGTTTTAAAATTTCAATTTAGTTTAGTTATTTACATTTACATTATATTTACATTTTGTCATTTAGCAGACACTTTTATCCAAAGCGACTTACAAATGGGGACAATAGAAGCAGTCAAAACTAACAAAAGAGCAATAATATACAAGTGCTATATTAGTATATTATTATAGTGTTATATTTCACAAAGAAATGTGCTGCATTTTGTCCAAGCAATAATAAAAGGACACATTTAATTTATAATTTGTCTTAAATCTCATTTTGTAAAAAATTAAATAAAATCGTGAGTTGAGTGAATCGTTACATCCCTACTCATTTCATTTCACACCATACACCAAACCACTAAATAATGATTATAAAAAGCAGCAGAGATGGCACAGATGTCAGATCAGACGTGATGAATCTGATTGTGTGTATGTGTGTCAGGATGAAGGTGAGGATGACAGCGACCTCTCAGACTACGGCGACGAGACGGACGGGAGGAAGGACGCGCTGGCTGAGCCCTGCTTCATGCTGATCGGAGAGATCTTTGAACTCAGGGGCAGTGAGTATAACAACACACTGCTCAGATGACTCACTGTCACCCGCACTGATGCAATGTGTGCAGTCAGACTGTGACGGTGTGAAACGCAACAGATCTTTGACCACAGGACCGTGTGACTGATGCTTCTCTAGCTGAAGTGCACATGCCATCTGCTGCTAAACGCTAGTGCACAACACCCAACAAATACTACTCTATAAAGTCACACTACTGTATGAAATAATAGTCTGGAAAATCGTATTTTTTTGAAACTTCGGACTAAGTATTAAAAAAAAAAAACATTTAAAATTTAAAAAGTGAAAGTATGATATAGTGAGAATATGGAGAATAACATATTCAAGGAAGAAAAAAAACTAAATTGCCCAATCTGAGGAAAAATATGAAAAAAAAGACATGTGAAGCCATGTCTGGAAAATCGTATTTTTTTGAAACTTCGGACTAAGTATTAAAAAAAAAAAACATTTAAAATTTAAAAAGTGAAAGTATGATATAGTGAGAATATGGAGAATAACATATTCAAGGAAGAAAAAAAACTAAATTGCCCAATCTGAGGAAAAATATGAAAAAAAAAGACATGTGAAGCCATCATTATAAATGTCTTTTCTGTCACTTTTGATCAATTTAATGCGTCCTTTGCTAAATAAAAGTATAATTTTTTTATTTCCCTCAAAAAAAAGAAACATTGGTTCCACAGGACCGTGTGACTGATGCTTCTCTAGCTGAAGTGCACATGCCATCTGCTGCTAAACGCTAGTGCACAACACCCAACAAATACTACTCTATAAAGTCACACTACTGTATGAAAGAATAGTCTGGAAAATCGTATTTTTTTGAAACTTCGGACTAAGTATTAAAAAAAAAAAACATTTAAAATTTAAAAAGTGAAAGTATGATATAGTGAGAATATGGAGAATAACATATTCAAGGAAGAAAAAAAACTAAATTGCCCAATCTGAGGAAAAATATGAAAAAAAAGACATGTGAAGCCATCATTATAAATGTCTTTACTGTCACTTTTGATCAATTTAATGCGTCCTTTCCTAAATAAAAGTATAATTTTTTTATTTCCCTCAAAAAAAAGAAACATTGGTTGAGTCAGATTTGCGTGTTTTTCTCTCTGCAGTGTTTAAGTGGGTGCGGAAGACACTAATTGCACTGGTTCAGGTCACGTTTGGACGGACTATAAACAAGTAAGCATTCACGAATGGAGGTAATGGAAACTTTGAGTTGAGTTGATTGAGTTGATCTTTGTCTCTCGTCCTCTGCAGGCAAATCAGAGACACTGTAAACTGGATCTTCAGTGAGCAGATGTTGGTTTACTACATTAATATATTCCGGGACACGTTTTGGCCCAGCGGGAAACTCGCACCTCATAACAAAAGCCGCTCGGAGAGTGAACGCAGAGAAACCAAGGAGAGAGCACAACAGAAGCTTCTAGACAACATCCCAGGTGAGCACAAATAAGAAATTCCCTTCTCACGAGGGAAGGTTAAACACGGTATATTTCAAAATAAATATTATATTTATTTTCATAACATTTACACACAAAGATGACCGGCTGTTTGCTATTCAGGTTTTATTAGAATTACATTCATACCGCCAAAATGAATGCATCTGTGACGAAAATACATGAATTCCAGATACTCAAGGGAAATACTGAACAGTGTTATTTTAGCATTATTTGTATATTATTTTAGTATTTATTAATAATTTGAATTATTTATTTTTTTTAATTAAAATTTTATTTTAAATGATTTGTTTTAGTTACTTGATGCTTTTGTCTTTTTTATTTTGCTTTATTTTTATTGGTAACACTTTACAATAAGGTTCATTAGTTAAACATTAGTTAATATATTAACTAACATGAACTAACCATGAGCAATACATTTGTTACTGTATTTACTAATCTACACTAATGTTAGTTAATAAAAATACAGATGTTCATATTAGTTCACAGTGCATTAACTAATGTTAACAAGATTTTAATAATGTATTAGTAAATGTTGAAATTAACATTAACAAAGATTAATAAACGCTGTATAAGTGCAGTTCATTATTAGTTCATGTTAACTAATGTAGTTAACTAATGAACCTTATTGTAAAGTGTTACCTTTTTATTTCAGTTTTAGTAATTTTAATATTTCAGCTTATTTAATTTCAGTTAGTTGCCAAAGCATTTTTCAATTTGTATTAATTTAATTTATTATTTATTATCTTATTTGTTGTTTTAATTTTCAAGGTTTTTTTAATTTTAAGGTTTTATTTGATTGATTTTATGTTTTGTTTCAGCTTTATTTCATTTAACGAAAACTATATAAACTTAGACACTGAATAAAAAAAATCTATATTTAGCAGTCATTAACAACATTTCAATATTGAAGCCTCTACCATTTCAGTAACTTTATGCCTTTTGTCTTTTTATTTTTTTATATTTCTATTTTGCTTTATTTTTATTTCAATTTTTAGTCATTTGAGTACTTAAGCTTATTTCAGCTAGTTGCCACGGTATTTTTCAATTTTTTATACATTTTATTTATTATATTTTATGATTTTATTTACTTTTTATTTTTCAAAGTTTTTTAATTTGAAGGTTTTGATTGATTTTATGTTTTGTTTCAGCTTTATTTCATTTAACGAAAGCTATATGAACTTAGACATTGAATAAAAAATTAATATTTAGTAGTCACTAACGACATCTAAACAAGCCTCTACCATTTCAGTTGTTTGCTGGTAACAGAAGTCTCTTTTTTTTCAAAGTTGGAACCTTGTAATTACGGTAATTCCTGTTGCATTATTCTTATTATTTATTTATTTAGTTTATTTTTTTTTTTTTACAGCTATTGTGATTAAAAACAATAGGTGTGAAAAGGCATTACTACCTAGCTGACCATTTGTATTTATAAATATTGTAATATTATAATTTTGGTAAATATAAATATTGTTGAAACATTTTTTTAAAGGGGTCCTATTATACTTTTTCACTTTTTGAATTTTAGTCAGTGTGTAGTGTGTACGTTTGGGCTTGAAAAAAGATCTACAACATTACAAATCTTCAAAGCCCACTCCAAAGGGAGATATTTCGTTTAAAAAAATCCCTTTTCAAGAACTACAACAAACGGCTCGTTTGGACTACAGCGTTTGTTTTCCGGGTTTTATGATGTCATAAAGCGGCCCATTAGAGTATCATTAAAATAAATCCCGCCTACAGAAATTCGAATGGTTGGGGCGAGGGCGTGGTGAGAACGCTTGGTTGAGTGCATCAGACAAGACGACGACGAAGAAGAAGTGCTGCTGTAGCGTCAGGTTTTCGCAAGTTATTACACATGCACCTGAATAATTATCTATGTTACAATTATGAAAACATTTTTTTAAATCGCTCACAGTACAATACTGGAAAATTATGTAATCTGCAGAATTTACACTTCAATTATAAGACTTATGGTATAAATAAATTCAACTGTATAACAGTTTCACTGCAATTCATGTTATAATGTTAGAATTAAAGAACAATAAGCATAAGACATATTGCAGTTGCACTTATCTGTACATAGTAAATGCAGTTATTTTTAAGCGGTTGTTGACATTCTATCTAAAACGTGATTTAGCCAAAAAAAACAACAATAACATTACCACTCTAATATGTCTTGCAATATCCGTGCGTGCAAAGGTTCTGCACAATCCTCTTGTTCAATATTCTCTGGATCTGAATCCGGCTCAAATTGGTATGGCAATATTGACGCCATCCTTGACTATACCGGAGCAGACGGAACTCGCTGCTTTGGCAAGGGGCGGGGCAGTGCTGAAACACCGTCTAAGCTGTTCGCCAATCACAACGCACTGGGACAGCTAACCAATCACAAAACATTTCGTTTTTCGGAAGGTGGGCCTTCATCAAAGTCAAAACTAATCGAGCCGTTTGTGCCAGGCTGGGGAGAAAGGTATTGTAATAATGTAAATGATGTGAAAAAGCATGAGAGCATGTTCTAGTACACCCCCAAAACAAAATCAAGACTTTGTAAAGGAACATAATAGGACCCTTTTAAAATCCAAATGAATACAAAAACTAACCCTGTGCCGATTCAGTCACCTTGGAAAAAGGTTTTATTTTGTTCTAAAGTGCGACGTTGTTAATGTAAAAGGCTTCGTTGCTGTTTCTGCCTGCATGGCGCTTTTTAATTAGAGCGGGACACTTAAAGCACACTCCAGCGAGAGCAATTACACCTGCCTGTGCTCAGAGCGCTTGACAATACTGCTTCACTCTCCAGCTCTCACAGGCCCACACCACAGAGACTCACCACGATCAAAACGGCTTTTTAATGAGGATTTCAATCTTTCGCTGGAAAGCTGGACAGCAGAGACTGTGTAATGAGAGCAAAAATGCTGTTTTTTGTTGTTTAGATGCACTTCAGAATCTCGTGGGGCAGCAGAACGCCAGATACGGGATCATCAGGATCTTTAATGCACTTCAGGAGACCAGTGCCAACAGACACCTTCTCTACGTAAGTCACCCAGCGCTCTGGGACTGACCGTTAACCTTGCTCCAGTTTATTTATATCTCAGGCTTTCACTTTCAGTCAGCGGATGTTCTCGTTTCTGCTTTCTGTTGAAATACTCTCATGACACGACAGATTTACATCTTTCACAGGGAAAGTGGCAGGAATGAACCTGAATGGAGTGTCACTCAAGCTGTTTTTTTAACCCTCAAATAAAGGGTTTTTAAAGTGCCCCTATTATGGGTAATGAAAAGTTCATATTTTGGTTTGTGGGAGTCCCCAACAACAGGTTGACAAGCATGCAAGGCCAAAAAACACTTTCATTGTCTTGCAATATGCATTAATTTTTACCTTACTTGCTCAAGGACTCCCAAACGATTCGCTCAACGATTAATTTTTCCAAACCCCTCCTTTGCGTGACGCTAATCTGCGGTGATTGGTCCGATTGGTCTCATTTTCATTTCATAATGCCTGCAATGCCTGATAAAGCAGCGTTTGTGAGCGCAGTGCTGCTTTGTGTACAGCGTTTCCAGAGAAACCGCTATTTTTACAGCTACAAAAGTGGCACCTAGTGGCAACGAATGAATTTGCATTTTCATTCAGACCAAAGCGAAAAGACCAACAAGTGGGTGGGCAATATGCTAATGTTTCATGTTGACATCAACATGAAACGGCTTGGGATTCGTTTTAAAAACGACTCGTTTCAATGATTCAGAGTCGACTCTTTCTTTTGAGAGACAATAACTTTATACACGGTGCACTTTCAGATTTAAAACTTTGCAGGATGCTTTCATTCACTTAGAGCTGTGTTACACGCTGCATGAAAGGTCATTTTCAAAAATCCATAATAGGGGCACTTTAAGCCATGAACCAAACCAACACTACAAACTTGATAAAGTATTTGAAAATTGGGAAACAAAACAGAAAGATACTAAATACAAGACCTCAATTACTTTAGTATACCTCAATTCTTTTATCCCATGTGGCATTAAAATATATTTAAACGTATATTATATTAATATTTAGCGATATATTTTATATGTATTTTTTATGTTATTTGTTAAATGTATTATTATATCTCTATATATTCTATTATTTATTTAAATATTTTATTTACATTTATTTTAATAACATTTAATATATTTTAGGACAATTCTGAACAACATATACATATATCATGTTCTGAATTGTCCTGAAATATATTAAATATGTTTTTGAATTATTTTTTATTATTAATTTTTTCAAATATGCAAGGACACTCAGTTATGTGTTTTTATGTTTCATTAAAATAAAATTTTGCTATGGAGAAAATTAAAGGGACGTTAACTTGTGGAAGCCAGCTGTTTTATTCTAATTGACTGTGAATATGCCACATTTTTAAGCTACATTTTAAACTAAATTAAATTAAAATTGGTTTTAAAATATATAGCTTTAACATAGATGCCTAATTTTGCTATGATCCAGTTTTCCAGGCTCATAGTTTTACGTGATAATACTGTAGTACCATCTAAAGGTGAAACGATGATTATACACTGAGTGTGCATGAAGTTTTCTCTGTTTCTCCTCAGATCTTGTTGGAGATGCTGCTTAAAGAACTCTATCCCGAGCTGAGCGTGGAGGCCGTACAGGCCTGAACATCCTCACGTCACATCAGAGGCTCAGGATGTGTTTCTCTAATGTGCTGGATGGCTGTTTTTGGTGTTATTTATTTTTTTTGTTCTGTTGTTTTATTTCTAAAACACTTGACTGACTCTGTAGTGCTGGATCTGGGAAGCGTCATGAATATGTTTGTGTTTTAATCCGTTGATGTGTTTCTCTCTGGTGAGATTTGGAGGAACGGACCACATCCACTGCCAGCTGTCATCTTCAGCTTTTCTTTCTCTCTTTTGTTTTCTTCTAGGGGGTTTTGCTGTGTAATGTGAAGAACAGTGGAATGAGTGTTACACATCTGTAAAAAGAAGAACCCAGACCTCTGTAAACTCCCTACATATTATTGTGACCATTATGAAAGCTTTTAATCGTGCAATATGTCATGTACAGTTATTGTGAAGGTTCTGTTTGTGATATTATTATTAATATTGTTATTATTATAGAATTTTATTTTTACCAAAATAGACTAGAGCATTTATAAGCAATAAAATGCAGAAGAAGATTTGCCATGTGTTGTGTCTTTAATATAATGTGATATTAAATGTATACATTAAAATGCAATTCATATTTTAAACTTTAATACAATTTCTTATAGTTTCAGTTGTTTTCATTTCATAGCTTTTCTTAGTTTCAATAGTTTTTCGTTTACAGTTTCTTAGTTTCAATATTGATTTATTTGACTTATTCAGTTTGCTTATATCTCAGGTAGGTGTAATTATACCTGTAGAAATTTCAAATAAAACATAAAAAGTAATTAATATCTTCTTTCTTTATTCATCAAAAATATCTAGTTGTTTTATGTCTGTAAAGATTTCAAAGACAACAATCTAAAAAAGTATTTCATATCTTTAATATTTCATATCAACTTTATATAGTTTTACAGTTTCAATCACAATTATTGATTAATTAATTCATTCTAGTTAGAAATCCCTAGTTAGTGTAATTATATAACATTTTGAAAGAAAAAACATTCATTTATTATTGATTTATTCTTCAAAATTATCTAGTTTGTGTAATTATATCTGTAAATATTTCAGACAAAAATATGAAGTATTTCATATCTTGAACTTTTATGTTTATTTATTTATTAATTAATTCAAAAATATTTAGTATGTGTAATTATACCTGTAAATATTTCAAAAATCCCAAAAAGTAGTCATATACAGTAGTTATGACGTACAGAGAAAAAATATCGTTTATTCAAATGTGTATTGTTAAAATGGAATATTATAAATTTTTTAAAGTTTGTTGAAAATAATGTTTTTTTTTAATGTAAACTCGTATATTTAAGATGTAAGCAAAATTTCTCAAAATATTCTTGAATATAAAGATTACATTTCTTAGAAGCTGGCGCTTGCATTTTCAACTGCATTTTTAAAAAGATTTTCCTTTGCATCGTTCTTAAATGGCACTGAAGTAATACTAAACATTTTAATTCATCAGCATCCTAAAAAAGCAAAGAAAAAAAAAAACCTGAGTCAGATATACAGTTGTGCTCATAGGTTTACATACGCCTTGTAGAATGTGCAAAATGTTAATAATTGAAACAAAATAAGAGGGATCATGAAAATTGCATGTTATTTTTTGTTTGGTACTGTCCTGAATAAGCTATTTCTTGTAACAGATGTTGACATGCACTCCACAAGATAAAATAATAAATGAATTTATAAAAATGACCACATTCAAAAGTTTTCATACCCTTGAATCTTAGTACTTTGTCGTTTCCTGGATGACCACGACTGTTTTTATATTTTGTGATAGTTGTTCATGAGTCCCTTGTTGGTCCTGAGCAGTTCAACTGCCTGCTGTTCTTCAGAAAAATCCCGCAGCTCCTGTACATTCTTTGGTTTTCCAGCATCTTTTGCATATTTGAACCCTTTCCAACAGTGACTATGATTTTGAGATCCATATTTTCACACCGAGGACAACTGAGGGACTCATATATAACTATTATATAAGGTGAAATCATTTACTGATGCTCAAGAAGGCAACACAGTGCATTAAGAGACAGGGGGTGTAAACTTTTGAACAAGATGATATGTACATTTTTCTTTTTTTTTGTTTAAAGATCATCTGCACTTAAGAAGCTACATAAATACTTAAATGTTTCCCAGAAGACAAAATAAGTACAATTTACCCTGATCATCCGATTCAAAAAGTTTACACCACCCAGCTCTTAATGCGCTGTGTTGCCTTCTTGAGCATCAGTAAATGTTTTCACCT